GCCACCTGGGAGACCAAAAAATCTGGTTTTTATTTCAGGGCATGACGGAGAGCGATGTTTGAGGCCACACCAGGGAAGAAACACTCGCTCAAGCCCGAGTGTATCATCTTTTTCCAACATACAAGTAAACTTACTCTACGATAGGGAAGAGAGTTCGTCCCTCCCTTCTCGAATTTCCTCAAAACATCCCTTCGAAAATTGGAAATGTCACAAAATGGATCTAGTGGCAGGTAAACTAGATGTTCTCCAGAAAGTGAGTTGTATACCGTTCGACAGTATTTTTTATGGGGAATTGAATGGTGCACATCTCAGTCTTCTATGTTCATCTGGAGAACCAAAAAAAATCTGATCATATCGCAAGGGCATGACGAGGTGTGATGTTTGGGGTCACACTACGGAAGGAAGACTCACCTGCCACCAAGGTTTCTATGTAATTCCTACAGACAAGTGACCGTAGTCTACGACAGTAAAGGAAATTCGTCGCTGCCTTCACAGCTTTCTACATAACATCTGCTCTAAACATGGAACATGTCGCAAAAAATGGGGCGAGGTGTGATGTTTGGGGCCCCACTACGAGAATGAATGTCATATTCGTAATCAGGGCATCGAATTACCCCAATAGGCAAAGTTTCGACGAAAAATGAAACTTTGAGATTTTGGGATAGTAATAGTGGAATAATGATGCCAATCGGCAATAGGGGAAGGCTGAAAACGGTGAAAAACCAAAGTTTCAACTGGGAGGAGTAATGCATATCATTCGATAGCATTTTTCACGGGGAATCCAATGGGGCACATCTCAGGTCTGCGAGTTCATCTGGAAATGCAAAAAATCTGATTTTCATTTTAGGGCATGACGGAGAGTGATGTTTGGGGCCACACCACGGACGGAGCGCTTACCCGTGACCAAATATTCTACATCAATCCTACAGAGAAGTAACTGGAGTCTACGTCAGTGGAGAGATTCCTGGCTATCTTCTCAGGTTTCCGCAAATCATCTCCTCTAAATGTGGGGAATGTCACATAATAGGTCTACTACTACTGCTGGAAACTGTTCGAAGATTCTCATTTGGAGTGGAAGAATGGGTTGATCAGCGCACGGTTAGCCAATTAGCACTCTAAACGAAGTAAAGATCGTGAAATTCGAAAAAAAAACATTCATCAGTCTCACCATATGGTGGACCGGTTGGGTACGTGGCGTATTCTGAGGGTGTTGAGATCCATGTTTCTGTGGGATGATCAGGCTGCATAGGAGGACTTATATGCGCATCACATACAAAGTATATTCATTACTTCTCGGGATGGAGGTCGAGTGCATGGCGCAATCCTAGATGGAGCTCTTTCAGAAATTGAATTTAACCATCTTGTAGATCTCGAGCAGAGCTATCAGATGGTATAAACTGCAGGTCGAGCGAACCATTTTTTAAAGAGTTATGGCGAGCCGACGGTTTGCGACGGTTTCCGACCGTCGCAAACCGTCGATTGAACAAAAATTAGTAGCGGTATTGTAATTTTTGGTTCACTGGGTTCGCGACCAATTAGTGACATCAGGCCTAGGGGGGGGATAGTTACCGTGGATGTTTGTCTCGATGGCCGTGTTTTGTTTAGAGTTTTGATACTGCCAGTAAGTTATATGTAGAGGTAGTAGTTAGGTTTGTATGGGCAATATGGCTTCAGTTAACTTGAGGTATGCCACTGAAATGAGATCGTTGTGCGTTAAGTGGTTAGCTGGTTTTGTGCAGCAAGCATTCTGTTTTCTTCTTTGACGACCGGTGAGGAACGGGGAGCTATGAGAAGGAGTAATAGCCCATCTGTGAGGGGCCAAGAATCGCTGTTGGCAGGCACATGTTGCCAGCTTTTGAAAAGGTTCTGTGCCATCAATAGAGGCCCAGTAGTTATCGTAGCGGAGATAGTGAGTTGATTATATTTTGATCCAATTTGTCTGAAGACAGTCTTTGCAGCGTATTCCTTTAGGCAACATCATAGAACAGGCTAGGTATTGGTCGAAGACACTACAAGAAGGAAGACTGGGATTTCAGCGCGGACTCAATTTTGTGAAGGCTGGGGAAAAATTACGAAAACCGTGCGCGCTCGCGAGACGTCTTCGATTTTTCTAAGCTCTTAATCACTCCTGATTGATTTGATTGATTCTATTGATTTTTTTGGTACCGCAGCATTTTTCACCTCTGTGCTGTCGTAGAATGTTACTTGAAAGGATCGTTGAAAATGGCGGAGTCGTTTCCTTATTTCTCAACTGTCATTGAGTTACACTAACAATGTGTTGGCATGCGTCTCAAAAGAACAAGGCCGTGGCTTGCAGTGCCATTTGGAAGATCTACTGAGCCATGAAACACTTTACAACGAGACTTACGTTGGAGGCCATCAGCTGCCATGGTGCGAGACAATTTTGAGGAGTTTCAGCCACCTCCTTAGCAGCAGTGGCAACCGTTCACATCGAGGCGGTGAGCATGGTGTGGCGTTTATGTGAATATCAATCCACTTTACTAAATGTATTGTAAAGTGCTCGGATCCAAGCCTGTAGGATCCGCTCAGGCCAGGAATGGAATGCAGCTTTTGTGAAGCGTCCGAGGTATCAAGGCATCTTCTTCATCCCCTCCCCCGCTCGACGGCATTTTTGGAGGAAAAAGTGGGCGGAGTTTTGAGGGTTGAGTGGTACCAGGAAGTTAAATACTATAGAGAGGAATATGGTGGTTGAGGGTCGAAAGGGGGTCGTACCAAGTCCACCTTGGGGGAGGGGGGTCGGGGTCGTAAAAATTTTTGAAAAAGTAAAAAAAAGTAACAACGATAGGACTGACCCTGCTCCAGAGACTACCTCGCCTCGAAACTGTTCGAAGAAGATTCGAATATAATTGCTATGTCCTTATTGAACAGTGATTCATTGTTTCCCAGTCTCATCAACTATTTGTTGAAGTGGAAGCTTTTTGAGTTTCCGTTTCCGGTTTCTGTTTTGTCTACCCTGGATGACCCGAAAGGCTGAACCTTCTTAAAAAAACAATTCGAAGCGTAATTTATAAATAGCAGCAAAAAGTACATTACACTGGCTAATGAGGTGAAGGAATATTAAATTGCTTCGAGAAACGATATTAGTGCACCACAAGGGCCCTCAACTCAATTCCAAGATGAGCTCACGATGACTATCTGATTGAGCTAATCAGGCCTTTTCTGTGTTAGTTCTGAAAATCAGCACAAACAGCTGATTCGAACCCGAGTTCGACGGCGTTCACGATAAAATGGTTCAGTGTGGAAGTAGCGCAGAAGTTAGAGGCGCCACACTTTACTTTTGCTTGCCCACTCTTGCCAAAAGTTTCCCATCCCTTATTGTCGTTATTTGGTCCGAAAGCCCCTCTAAAAACTGAGCAGGCTTACAGCTTCTTGTTGCCTCAGGGACTTGAGCTGGTAATTGTATAGAGCATTGAAACACCCCTACAATTCTGAATAGTAGCAGGTGCACGGCGTATTTTATCGGGTTTTCATAACAACAGAAGATAATTTAAAGATTGACGATCACAATGGATGGTTCCTGTAGGTGAATTGTTGCATTGCGTCGCTAACGTCACCGGGCATCATCCATCGCCGCCATTATTTGCACGGCATGCCCTGCGTGTCTGCGCCTGTGTTGTTTAGCTGTGGCCAGGTGTTATATTGTTGGCAATGCGGCCGGTCCTGCGGTAACGTTACGTACGGAGGTAGAGGGGACGATCGAGCTGACGCGGAGACGAAGCGGAAGGAGGCGACTGAGTCGGTGGACTTTTTGCGCCGTGTGTCTAATCAAGAGCGGTTGTTTGGTGAGTTTTGAGTGGCGGCCAAACATGCGTCATGAATTCAACAACTTCGCTATAGTAGGTTCGGGTAGAGGAAAGGATGCGCCAGGAGTTTGAAATGATTAAGAATCGCATACGCGTTAAATCAGTCCATCCTATTCGACTAGTGTGGAAAGGTATGAAACATCCAGCATTGACCACTATTTTTGGGATGCGCCACGCCGTTGACTTAGGTCCAGAATGCTGGAACAATTTGAATGCGATCTGGCACACATAGATTCAGTAACGCTTGTGAAGAATAAGCAATGTTCAAGTCAGTGTTTTTATCTCGGTCTAGGTGAAGCATTTGCTGCGAAAGTCGGAAGTTGATGATAGGACGTAAGCAAACCAGCCCTTTTGGCGCTTCGGCTGGGACCGTATGCTGAATGTTGGGGAGGGGATGGAGTCCCCGACGGTGGACGGACCACTTCAACTCGGTCCTTAGAACCGCCACAATTTGGTGCTTACCTCAGAACTAAGCTTCAAAGAGAGAGGACGGGTCCCCTCTCCAAAAAGGGCTGGTTTTGCTTACCTCGGTGGAATATCTGGGTATTTAGGCGGATTTTATCCTACAGTACACCTAGGAAACTCTGTATTCGCTTTTGGCCAATGTGCGCTTACATTTTGTGATTACACCTTAAGCTGGTGTACATAGCGCACTCTGAGGGATTTCTCCCCCCCCCCCATGGCAGGAACATTGCTTTTCGGGAACTAGTTTCGGTTTTCCGGTTTTCCTACTTCCCTTATGTGATCTTCTGTTCTAAGGCATGATGGTTTGAATCTGTGATTCCCGGACGTAATTTCTGTTTTATTTTTTTCCAAATGATTTCTTTAGTGCTTTCCAAATTCCCCAGAGGTGTTTGTGGTTGTAATGAGGTGTAACAAATAAAAGGGTAAAAGGATAAAGCATTTGCCGTTGATCAATCCCTTTTGGGATGCGGCACGCATTCTACTTCCATTTGTACATTCGTAGTGGCGTTTGAATGCGATGTGGCCTATACAATGACTTGCGGGGGCCAGCCGATGTCACAATTAACCGACCCCGGAGGGATGGAAGGCTTGGTTGGCCCGGGCGACTCACGACCCAGGATTTGATCCCCGGACCGCTCGCGTGGTAAGCGCGCCACTTGCCACTACACCACTTCCGCCCTGTACACAAATAGCTAATATTAAATATTATAGCCACCACAAATTGTTGTTGTCGGCAACAAAGTGGACGAGGAACGTTTACGGAAAGTGTCAGTGGACGCACATTGTGCCTTCGCCAAACAGCACGACCTCAAAGCGTTCTATGTGTCGGCAAAAACTGGTGACTCAGTCGCAATGATGTTCAGGTGTGAACTTTCTACTTGATTTTTGTTCACTAAGTAAAATGTACAGTCGCACACGACAAATGCCTAGCAATAAGAAGTTGTGCCTGAAGTTTGCGGTTCAAGTGTGTTATTACGATCTCAACGTTTCACAAAATTGTTGTACATTAAAAATATTCATTCGGTAGAGCAGAATATTGAAAAATATGCTCTATAATTAAAAGTAAATTGCCTCTAAAATAGTGACATTAATGAAGGCTGTTAAGCCTTCCAAAGACAAATCACCTTCCTTTGGTGTTTCCATATAAAATGCCAATTTTTGGATTTTCACAGTTACGAGCTAGTCGGATTAGTACTGCAAATTATAGGAGCTTCCTCTTAACACCTAAAAAACCAACTGCGATAGAGCTGCTCTGAGACCCATGGGATATGCAGAGCTTTTTTGGAGACTGGTTTCTCGGTTCTCAGTCCTGGTGCAGTAGGCAGGGCAGGGCTCTGAAGTAAGAGAGTACACGCTTCTCGTTTTCAAAGGTCAATTCCGAAAGGTTGAATCCTGCAATTGGACGAAAATTGAGTACTGGGACCGGCTCTTTTTTTTACATCTTCATCTTAATCTGTTTCGCAGTTATCCGCCAAGTAGATGCATGATGAAGGTCGGTTGCAGATGATACAGCCGTGTATCCCCGTGCTTCGATAGAATCAGGCCCCTGATTGCTAATTTGCCCCCCCCTTCAAATTGCCTCATAATACGATCTTTTCTGAAGGCTTATGGCTAGCACGTTTCGAGTTGTTTCACGTTCTCTTTCAAAATCGGAATAGGAATAAGGGGTTACAATCAGTGGCTCATTCAAAAGAAAATCCAAAGTTAGAAGTGTTCCAAACAATAACGAGAGGATTCGTGTACAACAAATGAGCAAATCTGAAATAAGAACAATGGCTTCCATGAGGGGCTTACAGCTCTTGGATAATGTCGAACAACATCAAGCGCATTGAACCTGTCAAGTTATGTCTCAAATACGACCCCTACGACCTTCAGTTACCACATTATTACTTCACAGCTGTCTTACCTGTTTCTGTCTCCCTCCATATGTCAGCAATTTCCACAAAAAAATCCATCTGGGCGAGAGGAGGGTGAAGGAGGCGGGATTTATGTACAAAAATGGTAGATGTTCCTGAAATTCCTTGAAAATTAGATTCTATTCACATCTTCCGCTTGCGTCCCCTGTAGTCGTCCCCTCCGCTCCCTAAACACTGATCTAGCTAGCTCCATCTCGCAGGTAGATCCTCAGTTCTTTATGTTTAGTCTTCTGGTTGGCCCAAAATCTAGTTGGTAGTATCGCTAGATTTTAAATACGGTAGGTGTAGCAATTGCTGTTTATGAGCGTCGTGTCATCTTGCCATTTTGCGAATCGGCTCGTCTCTCTCTGGTCTAGGCCAGTGGAATGGATGCTTGCGCAGTGCGACGGGACTTGGGAGCGGGGAAAGGTCGGGATGAAATTGCGCTAAACTCTGGGAAATTCCTCGCCTTCTAAGGTTTTTCGTAATAACTTCGTATAGCATAGCGTTTGGTGACGTTATTGCGTACATTGCGCACCTGCCGTATTCTAAAATCAAGCATGCCACCCATACTAATTTTGCACTAAAACGTTCTTCAAAAAGAGTCATTCCAGCAGCAAAAGAGAGGTATTTTCTTCTGTAGACAGGACGTCATGCACGACTTTTGAGGCGTGCTCATGCTGTCTGGCTCTAATTACTTCCTTGTTGTCAAATTGGTGAAGCATTAACGATTACAGCGAGTATTTTCATCTGTTTACAGATATCGTGTTTAGTGGTTTTATGATGCATTAAGGGAAATGCAGTGAGTGAGTGAATGAAACGCGGAAGCTTTGACGTGCAGGAGTTCCCGTCGCCGCGTAACTTGCGTGGTGCTCTCTGAACGGCTGTCCACGCCGACATTGGCAACAACACAAAACACCAACACACAATCCGGACAACAGGAAAGAAATCGCTGTTGCCTTCGGCAGGGATCGATAGCGAGTTTTCCTCGTTGTGCGAGTGCCCTTCGGAGGACGTCCGGGAACGGCTCGCTCCATGAGAGTAATTGCGTTTCTTATCTTCACATGTCAAATGTGAAGTGAAAGGATGATCGCTAAAGCCGAGACGATCAACCCCTTTTCGGGATGCGCCGCGCATTCCACTCTCACTCAGAAGCGATATGGTGTGTACAATAACTTTCTGAAGCTAGCCAAGGTACAAGTAAATGTTTTCTACTCTCCCAAACAGTTATTCTACCAAGCTGACCGCGGAGGGATGGTAGGTTTGGTTTGTCTGAGCAAGGTTCCATCCGGGTTTCGATCTACGGACCAAGGGCGTGGAAAATAGAGCCGCTTGATACTGCATGTGTACATCAGCACTGCATTAATGAAAGGTAAGGTTCCAAAACCTATTTGTGACTTCCTTTTCCTTTGAGATTGATCCATGTAATGGCAGCAGCTGTAGTGACCACGCGCACGGTGGGCGATTCGTGTAGTCGCAATGTCCGCAAAAACGTATCCGTGATTGAGACTCGATAATCTCAGATTTTATAGTTACCGGTGATCTTTGCGCGTTTACAACTTTTCCCCAGGCTTAATATACAACTTGCTAAAATCTGTAGAAGAATAGAAGTATGTTGTACCAGCTGCCCAGGATGTCCTAGTCAATTGACTAGCCGACCGCTTCTGTCTTCTTCCAAACATTGCAGACCGCCCTTTTTACATTTTTGTATCGTATAATCACAACTGCGAGGTTCACGATTTGGCTGTCTCCATTGAAATTGTTTTAGGGGCTGGCTCCGTGACAAAGAACGGGATTGAAGAGTGTATCATGCGCAGTTACTCTACGCTTGTATTAGCGATTTCTCACTCAGAGCACTATTTCTCGATCCCTCGACCATGGGAACTTTCACATAAACTCTTCCCTGGCAGTGTACGCTGATTCAATGAAATCGCTGATTTCTTTTTGATCCGAATACCACACGAAGTAGTCGGTGACAAGTCCAACGTCGCAGAGGTTCGCTCCTTTCGTAAAAGCATGAGATATGGGAACTGACTCAAAACTTTCTCATCAGTATTCCAAACCCAGATAGTTTTTTGGTGGACAGCTAGGCAGACCATCAGATTGCTCTGAAAAGACAGACGGTACGTGCAGTTCGCAGTCGCAGCTCAGGCCGCAGCGCAATCCAGACGACCAATATTGCAACTTTTTGCGAAGGCGCCACCATCTCAATCAAAGAAGGGAGAAATATACCAACTCGGAAAGGAGTGGGCCCATTGAGTTGCGCGGTGCGCGCCTTCTCTAGCAAAGAGATGGCCCCAGCGCCTAGAGCCTTACCCGCGTTGCTCACGCCGCTGCGCGCTCACACCCTTGCCGTCTGACTTTAGCCGTTTAGCAGAAAGAAGAGAGAAAGAAAGAAAGAAAGAGCGTTAGCGTTGAAGAGGGCAGCAGAGATGAGAGTCGCTTCAACGCGGCAATCAATGGGCAAGGAAGGGTTCCCATTCCTTGGGCTCTGGGCCGTTTCTCATCGTTTTCTCTTCGTCCCTGCACCACAGACCTCCTTTACCCCGACTGGTTGCTAATGTGAACCTTTTTCAACACAAGCTCCGTCCTAAACTGGTCGACCCTGAAGGGTGTACATGTGGTCCACATGTGTGTCACAGGGAGACAAGGGATGACCCAGTGGAATGGCCAAGGTAAAAAGTAAGGTGAATTGAGAGGTCGTGCTTCCTTGACACTACCGGGGCTATTGCTACCAGTCTTCGAAATTGCGGGCAACAGTTATTTGGGAACTGCAAGAGTCATTTTTCGTTCATATTCAATATATTCCTTTTCACTTCTAGGGTTCGCTTCAATTAGAAGCGGGTTCATAAAAGAGTAATCACTGTAGGTCTCAGCTGCACGAATGTTCTCTGCTACATGTTTTTGTCTTTCAGACGTCTTTTTGCTGGAATTCTTTCTATCACAACGATAGACTTAGTCGCTTAGTCCACATGAGCGGCAGTATCGGTAAAAAATCCAAATCATGTGGTGATGTCAGCTGATTTCTCGAGCAGTGCTCAATGATCGCGTCGGCGTTAAAGCAGCAGTGTCACGTAGTAGTTTCTTGTTTGATCCTTTCAAGATAACTGTCGGATTTCGGCGGTTTAATGGCGAGCTAATAGTGTGGTGTAGAGAGTATGTGAGCGACGTCATGGGGAAGGTTTTTTAGGATCGGAGGCGATGTCTAAAGTAACATAACACGGCAACTAGGACGTACTGAATGATCTGTCAAGGAGAAGAGGAGCCAACAGATATAGGGTCTTCTACAGCACTTGGATGTGTTGTCTTTGCTCCTGGTAGTCCCTCGAAAATGGGCTGCAAGTCGTTCCCTTCCCCTTGCACCCCACAGCCTCCCACCTCTCTATTTGTGCCCCCTTAACAATGATGCCTTCGGATTATCGTTCGGCACCATGGTGTCAAGCAAAATCCAGAGAGTTCCCTGTCATCAGTAGAGTACGTTTTGGAGGTGGACGGGACGATTGCTAATTATTTCACTGTTCATGTACGGTTCTGGGTCCTAACGTAGCTGGGGGAGGGGCACGCGGCGGTGCGGCGTCTGTTCGTCTGCGCTCTCCAAGGCGAAGCCCTGAGGGGCCGTTACACCGTCGCCGCCACGGGGCACTTTCGGAATGCAGTGGCAGGAGGGAACAGAGAATTAGCATTCGTTATGGTAAAAATAATCCGATGATCAAGGAGATAGTAATTAATTTGAATTCCCTCCGTAAAACTGTCACAACTGCTGACTGCGTAAAGTGGACGAGTTTTATGTTAGATATCCCGAAAACCATGTGAGCGCATCCACCACGATTAACTTTCCATGAGCCCCCTGGCCGCTCTTCTTATCAGTAGGTGTCCAAGAGGTGAGGTTTTCCAAGACCTGTTTTTGGAATTTCCGCGCAAAACTTTGCTTACGGTTCTCTTTGACCTTCCACAATATACGAATATGGAAAAAGAAGTAATCGTTCTGTCAGGTACGATACCTTTAAGTTCTCAATTACTTGCCCAATCGATATTACTGAGAAATAGGGAATCGGAAAACACACGATGCCAATGTGATTGCAACGCGATGAAAAACATTGTTGACGATTGCTGGAAGTCTACGATGACGCATGTAAACGTGCAAAAAGGGCGCCAGCGTTTAACTGATCATCGTTCTGCAAACGCCGCAACACCACAGAGATTTTGCAGCTGCCGCGGCAACACGATCGTTGCTGGGTGGCTGCGATGACGTGGCCGATGGCATGCCTGCTTTGCACTTAACGGCGTTTTTGCCCCATTTGCCGCAGTGTTTACCAACAAGTACAAGCAGGCAGCGAGGGATGTTATGCAGAGCAAACAAATCGATTCCGGCTAACTTTTAACGACCTCCTGATTGCTAATCGAAGACACTAACTAACTGTTCCGTAGCCGAGGGAATGAAA